CCCCAAAACCCCAAAACCCCAAAACCCCTTGAATCATCATGTACAAATAAAATAAAATTGGAATTGCAGATAATTTATTTAAAAAAGTATTTTTCCTTCCAATGGGAAATATAGACAGCAGATCATAATTTGAATTCGGGTATTTAATGGTTTAAACTGACAAACCTTTCTACGAACCTGGAGAGGTTATAACTGGTAAGGTCTACATAAGATGCAACACACCATACGATGCTAAACACATAATTCTTAAAATCAAAGGCAAAGAAAAAGGTTCATGGATTCAAACTGTTCACAGAACGGTGAGAAATCCTGATGGGACGAGTAGAACTGTTTCTGAGAAAATAAAAAGAAAGTCTAGAAGAAACATTATGGAATCCAAAGCTCCTTGCTTTGTTTTCACTCAAGGCCTTATACCAGGAGATTATGTCGTACCTTTTAGTTTCTCCTTACCTAGTGGAATTCCTTCCTCAATGCATTTTATGAACAGAGGAGACCTTAGACATCCAAAGGCTCAAGTTAAGTACTCTATAAAGGCATTTATAGAAACAAATACTCATGGAGTTGGAATGGGCTACAAACAAATACTTCTTGTTCGAGAGCATCCTCCTAATTTCGAAGTTAACATTGAAAGGACATCTGAGAACTTGGTTAAGACATGGTGCTGTGTAAATCAAGGTTTTTCAAAAATCATGGTAAGATTTGAAAAGAATACATTCTTGCCATATGAGAAATGCAAGACATAAATCTTGCTCGACAATTCAAGATGTAATATAGCACTAAAAACAGTAAGATTCTGTATTGAGCAAGAAATAGTCATCAATTGTAATGGGCATGTATATAGAGGAACTAAGGTTCTCAAGGAAAAACATGATGATGGTGTACCTGCAAGGCACCCTTAAATATCTGAGAGAGAAATAGAGATTGACCTGAGTGAAATAAAATACCCAGTTCCAGAGCATAGAAGAAAAAGAGGTTAACTTAGAAAAGTAACTCCAGAGGAAGCTTTCCAAATGGGTCAAGCACAGCCAGCTTGTCATGGTCTTATTATAAGGAATGAATACTTTTTAACTGTGAAAACTGTATTTGAAGGGTGCACCTGCTGTGCTGATTTACCAATGGCAAAGATTCCGCTAGTCATTATACCATATATAAGTTTAGTCAGTGAAGGCTACTCTGTTCCACCTGATTATAACCCAATGATTCAAAAGCACTGTGATATTGCATTGTAATTTTGAATAATTACTCCAAAAATTGTTCAATGTCTGTCAAAGATAAATTGATAAGATTAATTTTTAATTGATCCTTTTTTCTTCAAGATTTAAGAATTTTAATTCAAATATTATAATATCTTATTTGAAATTAATTTATGGAATGAGGGGTTTTGGGGTTTTGGGGTTTT